CCTTTACAAATGCCCAATTATATGACTGGTGGTAAAGAAGGAGAGAAGATTGAATTGGTTGCTAACATTTATTGAGATATGAGTTTATCCAATTAGTTAATCAAAGGATTCTCCCTAACTATTAATTCTTGAGATTAGGATGAAGATAATGAGGGAAGGAGAAGGTAAGTTTAAAGATTGAGAACTTTGTTATGGTTAAAACTGTGCAAAAAGAGAAATCCAAAAATAAAAGACATACAAAAAAGAGGAAAGGAGAAGACATGTATATATGCATATGTGTGTGTGTGTGTGTGTGTGTGTGTGTGTGAGAGAGAGAGAGAGAGAGAGAGAGAGAGAGAGAGAGAGAGAGAGAGAGATAAACACCTTTTCTCAGGCAATGCTTTGACATATCTCTCCATTTTCATTAGCATAGAGTCACACTACCATTCCTAACTATTAAAAAGGAAAGCAACAATAGGTATAGAAATGATTGAGGAGTACCCCTTACTTATGCTGTGACCTCAAGAGATGATGACCTTTGGATCCCTTGTTTTCACAATGTGACTTTGAGTAAGACACACATTATCTCAAGCACAGAGGTTCATTTTCTCTTCTGTAAATTGTAGGGTTTTTTTCTCTCTGTAAATTGACTTTTACACCTCCAACAGTCTCCAGTTTTTGAAATAAAAAATTATTATTTATACTGTAATTGTACTATAGCAATTAATAAGAATGAGAACTAGTGAAATTACTCAATAAATTTTTGATATTTTATTCTAAAAATGATAATGAGGCAATCTACATTTTATAAAAATATCAAGTTACTCTTTTTTATCTCATCTTATAACTTAGTAATATTGAGTTATCCTATATATAAAATAACAATTTTGGTTTTTTTTTTACGTTAGTGTTTTTGAGTTGTTTGTTCGTTTTGTTTTTTGTTTGTTTATTTGTTTGGCACATGCCTTACAGCATCTTGTGGGCAAAATCCAACAAACAATAAGTGAGGTTTTCTTCCAGGATATATGAGGTAAAATATTATTAATTAAAAAGATTTCAGAAATTTTATGTATTTTAATTAAAATAGTTGAGTTCTCAACAAAACATCGTTATTTTAAATGAGTGGATTATTTCCATAGGATTTGCTAAAAGATATAAATAATTCACCATTGATAGTAATTATCATGTATTATTTGTATTGTGAATGTTCAATTTTTGTCCTTGGTCTATTTTCTTTGAAGATGTACATCATTTCTTATTTACATATGAGTTCTTACATAGAGTAATTTTTACTTATCTGTCTTATTTATACAAAAGTTTTATCTCAGTTCATTGTTTATTTTTAGTCTTGTGCTATTCATTGCTTTAAATAATTTAAATGTCATATTTTATGGTTAAAGTTATCAATGGTTAAGGTTATATTTCTGGTTTGTTGTCTTATGTAGTCTTTCCCATCTTAGGGTTATGAAAACTCCTACCTATATTTCTGTCTAGCATTTTATGTTTTAAGCTTTTACATTTAAATGTTGAATCCACTGGGAATCTATTTAGTTGTAAGGAGTTAAGTAAAGGAACTGATTAATTTTGCAACATGGCCAACCAGATATACTAGCCTTGTTTCTTGAAAAATCCTTCATGCCTAGAAATATATATGGTGTGTTAATTTATAGCATTATGAAGTTTTGTAAAATAATCACACACCAAACTATGACTGAGGTGCAGAAGCAGAGTAAAGCCAGAATCCCAAAAGCAACCTCTTATCTCTTGCCAAATACCCCACATACCCACCCCCACCTGAAAAGATGACCATTATTCTCACTTTCTTGGTAATCAGCTCTACACCTGTCTTTAGTTGTCCAGCTAAGCATATATTCCTAAACATTAAGGTGTTTGGCCTTGCCTGTTTTGAAATTAGATCATCTAATAATGTTTATTATTTGTGGCTGTCTTCTTATACTCTACATTTTTAAGATTTAAGCATGATGTGTAAGCAATGGTGCTTCCTTCATTTTAAGTGTTATACAGTGTTCCATTTGAGAATATAGTTGATATTTATCTATTCTATTATTGATAAACATTTGGGATATTTTTCCTTTGAGACTACTTGGAATAGTGTTTCTCTGATTCATCTGGAATATCTCCTGGTATAAATGTGTATGCTTTTCTCTAGAGAATATAGCCAAGAATTGAGTTTCTAGTTTATATATTATGCATATTGACTTACCAGGCAATGCTAGTCTTCCCAAATATTATACTAATTTATACTTTCACTAGCTGTGAAAACATATCAAACAAAAACCTGCTTTGTACTTCTAAAACACTGCCAAACTTATGGTCATTTTTTGAATGCTTGTTTATCTAATTAGTTAGGGGAAGAATCTCATTGTAGATTTAGTTTTCATTTCCTATATGCTCAAGAGGAGAAGGTCAGTATATATGTCTAGTGATCATGTGAATTTTCCATTAAAACAAATATTGAAAAACTTTAACCATTAAATACCATGACTTATTGTTTCAGAATAAATTTTCATTATAAAAAAGCCAATAATTTTGCACAAAACAATTTAAGATTTTGATATGTAGAAATCATTCTACAAAATTTGTATTTCGAGTTAACACTTAGCGAAAATAAATTGGAAATTATATAGCATAGCACATATCTTTTGTTTAACGTTAATAATATTATCTAATCAAATTATTCACACAAAACAGGTTGTCAATAATTATTGAATTTCCTATAGGAGATATTTTAGAGTAAGTGCAGCAAGACTTTAAATTTTAATCTAATATTTGTGGCAAACATAAACACATCTTAATTATTGTGAGAAATTTTAAAGTAAAAAGATCTAAATTGAGTGAGATGTATTTTATTTGTTAAAATGATTTCTTGCACATAGAGCTATATACTGTACTTCTTGTAAATGTATTGACTTAGAGTACTTTTGTATTTGATATGAATATCAAATTTGAAATGTTTGAGTAAAATATATTTTGATAAAAAATCATAGATATTTACTGTATTTAATTACTCTTCTTTGCAGTAGTTTGTCTCTGTCTCCACAGTCTGGATTATTATTATCATTCACACATTCACTTATGCATGCTAGAAGGTAACTGGGGCTCAGAAGATCTGGTTTCTAGCACCAACACTGCCAATGTCTACTTCCCTGGCTTTAGGCAAATCCTTTAGCCTCAGCATGCTTGAGTTTCCTCATCTATTAAATAAATTACAGCAAGTCATGGACCTTCCTGACATTTTATAAATAAATAAATAAATAAATAAATAAATAAATAAATAAATAAATAAGTGCTGGTATGTTCTTCCAAGGAGAGATCTGAAGTCTACCAGTTATAGTTCTTTATAGCAAACAATAGAAACCAATTTTATGAACTGGAATGAAACAGGATTGAATTAGAAGGGATTAGGCTCAGAATGCAATGCTGGACAATCAACTTATGCAACACTCCAGCTAAGCAAGGCACTGCCAAGACCAGCCCCTACTGCCACCACTTTTGAACTCTAGCCGCTGTGTGCCAAGCTCACTGCCTTGGACACTCACTACTGTGTTGTTGCACAGACCCTGTGCCCTTGAAGTCACCCTCAAAAATCAAAGCCCTGCCAAGAGTGTCTAATGTGTCCCTGTCTTGTCCACTGTCAAGTTCTGCTGAACTTGGGACTGTCTCCAAGTAGAAAAACAGAGATTGACTGGCAGCCAGAACAGGAGTATCTCTTACCATGTCTTTCACCAGTTTCTCCAAGGAACCACGACCCCCGACACTTTTGCCAGAAAATATAATGAATCACTGCACTGGATTATCTTTCATAACAGCTCTGAAATTATATGATTCTAAATACTAATTTTCCCTTCTCCCATTCTCTACCAACTCGGAATTTTTTTTTTAACAAGATACAAATGCAGCAACAGAATGACTAACCAAAATGTAGGGTCAGCCCTGAAGCATCTCATGATCATTTCAGTGGGTGTATAATTATGATGGCTGGCTAATGACAGAGAGTAACAGATGTCTCAGAGTAGTTACCCAGCTGAAATTTTGGCAAACTAGTCCAAATTCCTCCAACAAAAGGAATTTACTCTCTGGTATAGTCTTCTGGTGCTCTGATATGAGTATACTAAGGTGTAGCATGGCTCAATGGTTAACTGTGCACACTTTAGCATTAATGAGAATGGGTACAAGTTTTGAAACTCCCCCTTATGAACTGGATCAACATGGAAAGTAACGTGGCCTTAATATGTCTCTGTTTTTTTCTTGTTTAGTAAATGATAGTGGCTAGTCAACTCGTGGTATTAGAAAAACAAAATGATGGAATTTAAGAAATTATAATGGTTGACACATTTATAGCCCAGGAAGTGATGATAAAAGTCATAATGATAACAGTTAAGGCAGTTCTCAACTATGAACTGAACTCATTCCAAAAAATATTTATATGTTTATTTTTAAGTCAAAAATGATAAAGATATATAAGCCATGTTCAGCGACATGTGCTCCAAGTTAAAATGTGTTTAGTGAACTATAAAATTGATGCAAAATAATCACTAAAATGCCATATTGCAATGTACCAATGAACATTTTTTTCTTCATGTGGTGGATACACCTAAAATAAAAATATGTGACCACATTAGGCTAAATTTCTCATTATATTTAAAGTCGATTCAGTTACATTCAATGGTACCATCAAACTAAGATGAATATGAAAAACCTAGAGAGTTTAATAACTAAATTAGTCTTCAAAGATGAAAGAAACAAAAGGTGGACAGTAGTAAAGGTGACTGACTTCCAAGCCAGCAATTGCCACTTTCACTCTCGACCACCTGGGTGTATATGTCTGACCTTCAGCTTACCATAGGGAGTTCAGAAAGTTATTGGCTGAGCCAGAATCAGGTATGGCCTAGAACTGGTACGTAGGTCTGTCTGGGTTTAAGAGTATGCTTGTTTCCTTTGAAAGCCTTCCTGGTTCTGTGACTCTCCTGATGTACGTGCTCCCCCTTCGTATTTTGCAGGTAAATGTGAATGTGGCAAATGCACCTGCTACCCGCCGGGGGATCGCAGGGTTTATGGGAAGACGTGCGAGTGTGACGATCGCCGCTGTGAAGACCTCGACGGCGTGGTCTGTGGAGGTGAACAATTTAGCAGCCTTCCGCTACTGCCTGCAACACGCTTCACCTGCCTTCCTTATTCTGCTTATCCTTCTTTTTAACTGTTGAAAAGAAGATAAACAAAAATTAGTACACAATTCAACCTAAAAGCAACATACAGTTATGTTTGTAATGACCGTTATGTTCTTAGACTCTTGATTTAAGAGCATGTAAAAGTACACAGTGCCCTATTCATAAAAGGTGGTTGAGACCAAACTGAATTTTACGGAGATAGTAAAGGCTTTGCTGCCACTGAACAGTTTAAGGTGATTCTTATGATTGTGCTCATAAATCCTGGGGGAAGTAGGTATCACCCATAAACTTGAAAAATAAAACACACACACACACACACACACACACACACACAGTAAGATAGCTTCCTAAGTTTAATTACAAAATCACAGGATATACAATAGCTCAGTTCCCATAATGGCTCTGAGACCCAAATAAGAGCTTATGAAAACAAGAAACTGCAAAGAACAAATGAGACAGATAAAAGGTAATCAGCAAAACTGAGAGTCCCAGAGGTAGAAGGTTGACAGTGTCTATCTGGTCTTCATCAGGGGAGGGGATGGGAGTCAACATTATTCTCATAGTTCAGTGGAACCAGACTAAAAGAACATAGCTATCTTTCTTCAAGATAGTTACCATAACACAAGAGGGCACTTTACTGGATAAAATCAGCATGCAGGTGCAACACAGAAAAGGCAGGGACATTATCACTACCATTTGTCTAATATCCATGTATATCTACCCTGTTTCCCCCAAAATAAGACAGTGTCTTATATTAATTTTTTTTCTCCCAAAGTTGTGCTAGGTCTTATTTTCAGGGGATGTCTTATCTTTCCATGCACTAGATCTTATTTTCGGAGGATGTCTTATTTTCGGGGAAACATGGTAGTATTATCTCTCTAACCAACCATGAAACACTTTCAAGTTAAGCAAAATTTTCTTCTTTCTTTTCTTTGTGAGCCAAGGTAAAAGCCCTTTTTAAGGACTGTGGTGCAGAGTGGTTTATTTCACGCAGCCCTCAAGGCAGCCACCTTCAGTAATTGTTCCTGCTTTCTTCATCTTCAAATAGAAAAGTGAGTGAGGTTTGAGGTGTGGATGTCCCATTGCTAAACAGCGGCAGACCCAGGATCTGACACTGATGTTAGGTTCACAGATCTTCCCCTATATCACAGTTTTCCCCAGCGTGACATTAAACTGTTTAGACTTCATATCAATATTACTTTTAGTTGAGATTGTTCTGTCACTGGTATTAGTTACCAGAAGTATCTAAGCAGAGTACCCTCTTTTTTGTTCAGTACAGTCTGTGTATTGACTCATTTTGTTTTCACAATGCGGTATAGAAAGCCTGCCTGGCACCTAGAGAACACCTTGTTATCATTGCCATTTTCTCTGGCATGTAGTGTCTACCTCACATGGGTCTCCTTGCCCAGCTGCTCTGGTGAATTGTTTGAAATGGTTGATATTGTAGAAACCACTTATATCTACACATCCTTTATACATTCCAGTGAGTACATTTTTTGTTTTCCTTGTTATTGATCTCTTCATTTTTTATCATGATGAGAGGAGAGGGTGAAATATCTCCACACTTACGTTTATCCTAAATAACACAGCTTGTCAATACATTTCATGAGCTTTCAAGTTTAAGGGTGATACTTACTTCCCCCAATGTATTCAGAGCTGTGACTGTCTGGTCTTCAGTTTTGGGAGGCATTGATGATTTCTCCTTTCTGGTCATTTTTATCACACTTGACACTGAGCTATCAAATCAAAGTGACTGTCATTCATCTCAGAAGTATTTTTAGTGTCTTACCCTGCAGTGCTTCTTCTGTGAAGAAGTTTCACATGGATTCACCCAAGCATGGAGGAGCACAATTAAGAAGACACTGGCCATTAGGGTTTCTCAAGCCAAAAAACACACTGGCAAAGTTTCTATATTTCTCATTCTATCTAAAAATACCCAGTATTATAAGGACACCTCTCTCATTTATTTAATAATATTCCATTATGTATATAGCACAAATTTAATCATATCAGCAAATACTTACTGCATACTTATTCCACATAAAGCCTTGCACTGCACTTTAAATACATATGCCCTTAAATATTATTAATCACTAGATGTCATTACCTCTAACCTAAATGCTAGCATTCCCCTTGGTTCCATGGGAACTTGCTCTATCTCCAGCCAGTCCATATAAGCAAATCTTCCTAAATTAATTTAATAATTCCTAGCTGCCCAGTTTCTGGTTGATTTTTAGTTCTCATTCTACGTGACCACCTTTTAGCATAGAGTTATAGTTACTCTACTCTGAAAGCCCCATGAAATGGTCTCCTCCCTGGGCCTCAGAATTACCTTCCCCATCTATTTCTTCTCAGATTTCTTATTTTTGCTCATCTCCCAGAGCTTACCAATAAATCTGTTTCCCTTAAAATCGATGTTGTTGGATGCTATTTCTGCTTGCTATTTGTTGCCCTTGAGTAATCTCAACCACTTCCACTTTCATTTTAGTTTTCAACTAAGTTGGAAAGGATGGATTATGAATGAACTATGTATGTCTGATGGGAATGCTATGCTTTTGGCTTCTAACTCTACCAGCAGGCAGCTCTCTTGCATGGTTTCTGGAAGTTATGCTAAGGAATTTTCAGAAAATATTTTAGCTCCTGTGGAGCATGAAGCTTCTTTTAAACCAGAGAAGTCTCAACATCTGTGCAACATGGATCTCAAATCTGTGCATCTGAATTGTGTTATCTGAAGAGAAGGTAATCCCTAGATTACTACGTTGAGTTGTCATCTTCATGAATCCTTGCCAAAATTCCCATGGAGAGGATGGCCCAATATTGTCCAGTTGCCCAGATGTAGTTCCTACCCCATGTCCTTCTAAGGAGACTAGTGCTGAATGGCAATCTTAAAAAGCCCCACTTGCTCCTACTGCTGCCCTGAGAGTACAAGCAGCATTTATAGAAATTCATGGTTTAATAATCTGAGTGAGGGCCAGGGAGGAATCAAGGATGAATCTTGATGACTTCAGTGATTGGATAGGTGAAAGAGACTATGCTTTTATTGGCCTAATTGCCTCCATTTATTGAAAAAGTGAGTTTTTTCATGGAGGGCAATAGAGATGGACAAACTTAAGTGTGTTAAGATTTTGTTCATTTTACCTGCATTGTATTCCTTATCTTTGCTTCTTCTTCTAAATTGCTCCTTATCATTTTCCCATTCTTCCAAATCATCTCCTTTGGAATGCCTTTCTGAAATTATTTTATACTTCCTCCATACTGTAATACCTTCATTCAAATACCATCACATTTTATTGTAAGTTCTTTTCTTCAAGTCTACACAATTCTTGTGGATATAATAAAACCTTTTTCCTCTGAAAAATTATTGTATCCTCAAACTTAGGAAAAATAGTTGATGCTTAAGAACTTTTTAGAATAAATTATAAATTAAGGGAGCCACAAGTAAATTAAGGAGTATTGACTCCAGTTTTGGATTAGAGAATTCTTCACATTGGAGTTACCATTTGATGTGGACCTTGAATGGCTAATACCTAGAAGTATGAAAAAAGGATGTGAACATTTTAGGCCTGAGAAAGTTAAGCAAAGGTGAAAAATATTTTATATGTTGAAGGAAAATATTTATTTAATTTTTTTATATCAGAAGTTTTTCTCAGCTGCTCTTGAATTCATCCTTGGAAGGATTTTTTCAAACTATTTACTCATTTATTATTTATAACAGATATTATTACCTCCCTTTATTTTACTTTGCTCATCTTTAGATATCAGGACATTGAAAAATATTTTTATTTCCTTCAATACTTAATAAAACTAAAATAATATTTAAAAAAATAAAAATCACCCACAACTCCACCATCCAAAAATAATACCTGATAACATTGTGTTGTATTTCCTTCTAGTTTTTTTTTTAAGGGATAGATCTCTTTTTGAATATAGACTTATGAATCTTCTGTGGGTATTTTGATACTTTGTGTAAGGAAAGTCCACATTCTATGGAATGATGAGTTGCTTCAGTTTGTGTTGGGTACACTCTGCTACATTTTTCTTTTCCACATGAGATTTTAGTGGGCAGAAGGAACCATTTTCTTTTAAGCAAAGTGAGGCAACACAACCTGCAGCAAAATGAATGTGAACCTCATATCAAAAAAGACCAGCATTTGGTTTCTGGCTATTTCCCACTAGTTGTACCCTGTTTCCCGAAAAATAAAACAGTGTCTTATATTGATTTTTGCTCCCAAAGATGCGCTAGGTCTTATTTTCAAGGAATGTCTTATTTTTCCATGAAGAAGAATACAGTACACATTTATTGTCAAATGAAAATAAAGGAAATTTATTACCTGTATACGGTATGGTAGTACGGTAGTTGTCAACACAAACCAGACAAACTGTGAATCCTACAGTATCAAGAATTTACTCATTTATTCAATGACAATCATGTCATCATCTTCTGGAACATCATCATAACAATCCAATTCCTGAATTTCCTGGTGAATTTCTTGTGACTCCATTTCTTTCAGAATCAGTGGACCAAATCTCTCATGTTTAGCTTGGGGGGAGGGCTTATTTTCGGGGTGATGCCTTATATTTCACTCAGAAGGAAACCTGTAAGTAGGTCTTATTTTCGGAGGATGTTTTATTTTCGGGGAAACACGGTAGTAACTTGGAAGGGCCATTTGGTCTTTCTGCCTTGATTTACTCATTTGTACAATAAAGATAATAATCCTCAGCTATTAGCTTTATGTGAGAATGAGACACAAAGAATGAAAAATGCCTCTTACTATGTGATAAGCAGGCAATTAGTGAATGCCTTATGTATGCAATGCAAAGTAGAAGATTCAAGTGTCTATTGCCATAAGAGGACAAAACAATCCATTTAAGATGTATTGAGGCACTAGTTACAAAATGTTTTGGAAGGAAATTGGGATCCTACAACCCTGCATTGCTGTGTCAGGGAA